ATTGTAGCAAACGCCCAGGAATTCTTAGATGCAGTCATCGCTCGCTATTCCACCCCCGCCTTAGCCTTTGCTAGCAGCCTGATCCTCCCCATGCTGTTCCCCGATGTTGCGTCCTTCCCCACTGTCGCCGATCTTGCCACTCACCTCCGCGCACTTGAGACTAGCTACCGCGCCGCTAGCACTGAGGCTCAGCTCACTGCTCTTGTGCTGCCACTCTGTGCTACCCTTTACCTCATTGTCACGCGCCATTGTGACCGCCTAGCTATTGCGCACGACCACTTACTTAGTCAGCACCCGGGTGACCTCACCCTCCCCGCCATTGTCACCGCCCTATCTGCGAAAGAGACCCACCAGTGCACTATCGCTCAGTCTAGCGGTACTGCGCTGGTCTCTATCTTTCAAGGCTATGCCCACTCTTAGTGCTCTTACTCTGAAGTGTCTGCCGCTGTTGTTGAGACCGCTGCTACGACCTCAGCGCAGCTGCGTACGGGTAGGGGCCGCCGCCCCAAGGGGGGGCGTGGCGGAGGGAAGGGGGTTGGGGGTGGGGAGGGTGGAGGAGGTGGGGGCAAGGACGGTGGTTCAGACAAGGGGACCGGGACTGGTGCCCCGGAGCAGCAGCCGCAGCCTCAGCAGCAGTAGTAGCAGCAACAGCAGCCGTAGCAACAGCAGCTACAACAGCAGTCGCCGCAGCAGCAGCAGTCGCCGTGGGGTCCCCCGCCGTTGTGGTGGACTGGCGGCGCTGGTGGTGGTGGTCGTGGTGGTGGGGGGCGCAGCTCGGCATCGGGTGGCGGTTCCAGTGCAGCCACCTATCAGTACCAGCTTCAGACCGGCCCCCGCCGCAGCACCGTCTGCAACCGTCCCGGCCACACCGCCGCCCGCTGCTACCTCCACCTGGACGTCCTCTTCCGTCACCGCTTTGGTCCCACGTCGGACCCTCCTTACAAGTACGCCCTGGCGTGCCGCCGTGTGCCTGTCTTTGAGCTTGACATGGATCAGATAAGGACTGTTATGTTTGTCATGTATGCTGATGACTCTAGTGTGATTAGACCCTATTATCCAGTGTTGCCTAGTGTAGATGTGTCCCCTGTGTGTAGTCTAGGCTCCCCTGCTGCATCGGGCATAGGACCCCTTGCCTTGTGTAGCCTAGGCTCCACGCTAGCCCCTCCGCCGGATGACGCCACTACTTCGCTCTCCATTACGCTCGACTCTGGCGCGTCCGCCTGCTTCTTTCATGACCACACTGCGCTCACGCTGCTTGTTGCCCCTGTCGCTGTAGCGCTTGCTGACCCCTCTTCAGGTCCGGTAGTAGCCCGTAGCTCTACTACCCTCCCCTGTCGGCGGTCCCCTCAGGCTCGCTTAGAGGCCTACACATCCCCTCGTTCTCTCGGAACCTAGTTGGTGTCAACTGTCTTCACGACCTCGACGTCACCACTACGTTCCCTGGACACGAGTGGTACGCAGTCTGTACCGAGGCCGCCATTGGTGCACCTCTGACCACGTGTCTGGCCTGTTTATGATTGACACTGCGCCCCCTCCCCCCCCCGGTGAGGGCGTTTCCTCAGGTATCCGCGTTGACCTAGGTTGTTGCGGTTTGCTCGTGTCAGTCGCTCACTCACCCGTCGCTTCTTTGGCACCACCGCCTAGGTCACCCCGCACTCCCGCGTCCGCGCCACATGTCCCATCATGGTCTTGTCTTTGGTCTCCCTGCGTCGCTCCCTGCCCTTCTTCCCTCACCTGCGCCGCCATGCACGCCTTACGTCGAGGGCCGGTTGCGCTGTGCTCCCTAGTTCTCCTCGCTTCCCCCTACCACTGCGCCACTCCAGACCCTGCACTTTGACGTTTGGGGCCCAGCCCCCGTCCCTAGGCCACGTCGAAAGCGATACTTCCTACTGCTTGTAGACAACTACACGCGCTACACCACGGTGTTTCCCGTGGAGCGGAAGGCCGACATGCCTGACGCTCTTATCCCGTGGGTCATAGTTGCGCAAGTTCAACGCGACCTCCCTGTGCTACGTCTCCACTCCGACCGTGGCGGCGAGTTTGCCTCTGGTTGGCTTGGCCAGTTCTGACGTGCGGAGGGCATCACCCAGTCGTACACCCTGCCAGAGTCCCCGCAGCAGAATGGGGTCGTTGAGTGACGCTTCGGTTTGGTCATGAAGGTGGCTCGTACCTCCATGATCCATGCCGATGCACCCCATTTTCTGTGGCCGTTTGCTGTTCGCTACGCTGCTTACCAGCTTAACATGTGGACGCATTCCCAGCAGCCGCAGGTTTCACCGACCCTCCTCTGGACAGGTTTCTTAGGTGACGCGTCTATGTTCCATTCTTGGGGCTGCCTCATTCACGTCCGTGCCTCTGGCCCGGACAACATCACGGCCCGCACTGTCCCCTGTGGCGCGTCTGACTGGCACTTTTACGACCCGCCTTCCCACCGCTTCTTTTACTCGCGTGGCGTCACTTTTGACTAGTCTGTCTCCTTCTACCACTACTTTCCCCACCC